GCAATAAGCCTATATCGCTACTGGCAAGTAAGATATCATCAACATATAGTATCAGGAATATGAATTTACTCCCACTGAACTTGTGATACACACAATCTTCCACTAAGTTCACCTCAAAGCCATAAGAGATAATAACCTGATGGAATTTGTGGTACCATTGACGAGAAGCTTGCTTAAGGCCATAGATGGACTTTTTCAATTTGCAAACCATAGAATTTGAATCTCCTAATACAAAGTTTTCTGGTTGCACCATATAAATTGTCTCATCAATGTTGCCATTGAGAAACGCTGTCTTTACGTCCATCTGATGTAGCTCCAAATCCAAATGAGCCACAAGCGCCATTATTGTCCTAAAGGAGTCCTTCGTAGAAACCGGAGAGAAAGTCTCTTTATAGTCTATGCCTTCTTTCTGAGTGAAACCTCTAGCAACTAGACGTGCCTTATATCTTTCGATGTTGCCATTTGAATCCCTTTTGGTTTTAAATATCCATTTACAACCAATGGGTTTCGCACCTTTAGGCAACTCAATAAGATCCCAAACGTCGTTGTCTTTCATAGATTGCATCTTATCTTTCATGGCATCAATCCATTTATGAGCATTAGAGCTTTCTAAGACTTGTTGGAAGTTGATTGGATCATCTTCCTTCAAGCTTAAAATATTTTCATGCTCTTGAAGAAACACAATATAATCATCCGGAATTGCATTTCTCCTTTCCCTAGTGGATCTCCTTAATGGCACTTCTTGAGTTTGTTGAGTTTGTTCTATAGGTGGCATAGGGGGTGATTCATTATTGTCTTGACCCAAAACAATGTCAGGGACCAAAGCCTGTTCCATAACAATGTCATGAACAGGGACCTAATCATTAATTGCTTGTTCCGTAATTGCATCTTGAATGATGACAATATTAGGAAGAGAAATATTATTTTCTTCCTCATCAAAGACAACATTCCTTATTTTATCTTCCCCCCCAAACTCAACATCCTCGAGGAATCTGGCATTTCCCGTCTCCAAAAAGGATCTTGTAGTGGGATTATAAAACTTAAAGCCCCGAGAGCGTTCAGCATATCCAACAAAATAACAGCTGATTGTTCTTGAGTCCAACTTTCTTTCATTTGGCCTATAAGGCCTTGCTTCTGCTGGACAACCCCAAATGTGTAAATGCATTATGCTAGGTTTCTTTCCATTCCATAGCTCATAAGGGGTTTTTGTCACTGCTTTGCTGGGAACCCTATTAAGGATATAAACTGCAGTCTTTAGTGCTTATCCCCAAAGTGATTCTGGCAATGAAGAATGACTAAGCATACTCCTCACCATGTCTTTAAGAGTCCGGTTTTGCCTTTCCGCAACACCATTCATGCTAGGTTTACCTGGCATTGTGTATTGCGGGATGATTCCACACTCCTTTAGGAAGATCGCAAAGGGCCCTGGACGTCGTTCACCTGATCCATCAGATCTACCATAGTATTCACCACCACGATCAGATCTAATGGCCTTAATTTTCTTTCCTAACTGAAGTTCAACTTCAGCTTTAAATTCTTCGAACACATCCAATGATTGTGACTTCTCTCTAATCAAATATAGGTATCCAAATCTTGAATAGTCGTCTATGAATGTGATAAAGTATTGTTGACCATTCCAAGAGGATATAGGAAATGGTCCACAAATATCCGTATGAATCAATTCTAAGACGTTTGAAGCTCTGTTGGAAACTATTTTCCTTATGTTTGTCTGTTTCCCCTTTATGCATTCAATGCACACCTCAAAATCATCCAGATCAAGGGGTTCAAGAATTCCATCAGTCACAAGCCTCTGAATTCTCTGTTTAGAGATATGACCTAAACGCTTGTGCCACAGAATGGCAGAATTCTCTTTTAACTTTCGCTTTGTACCATTTGCACTCGAGTGCAATATTTCATTATCAGTAGAAACAGTATCAAGCATGTAAAGATTATCAATCAAAGAACCAGTACCAACAATATTTGAATTAAGCGAAAGACAAAATTTATTATTTCCAAATGAACAAGAATAACCAGATTTGTCCAAACTAGAAATAGAAATTAAATTCCGTCTAAATGACGGTGCAACAAATGTCTCAATCAAATCCAAATAAACACCAGTTTTTAACAATAATCTAAAATTCCCAATAGCTTGAACTGCAACCTTTTTGCCATCCCTACAAAGATGTATCTCTCAACATCACTTGGCGGTCGGCTCCAAAGGCAACCCTGCATAGACATACTAATGTGAGTAGTAGCACCAGAATCTACCCACCAAGTATCAATAGGTACAGTAGCTAAATTAATTTCAGAACAAACTAAAGTGAGAGTCATACCCTTCTTTTCGCGCCATGCCTTGTATTTGGAACACTCTTTCTTCATGTGTCCATATTTCTTACAAAAGAAGCAGGTGAATTCCTGATCCTGCTTCTTTTGCTTCTTTGGCAAAGCATCTGCATTATCCTTAGCTCTCTTTCTCTTCTTGTCTTGAGAGGTTGATGCCAAGTGAGCACTATCAGTCTTTTCTCGCTGTAACCTCTCTTCCTCTTGCACGCAGTGAGAAATGAGCTCATTAAGAGTCTATTTTTCCTTTTGAGTGTTATAACTCACCACAAATTGACCGTATTGTGCAGGAAGAGAGATAATAACTAAGTACATGAGCAACTCAGAGGGAAGCTCTAACTTTAATGCCTTTAGTTTTCCAGCAAGATTAGACATTTCCATAATGTACTCCCTTATGTTTCCCTTTCCTTTATACCTCATGTTTATGAGTTTGGACAAGATTTGACCAATTTCAGCCTTTTCATTTCGAGCAAAGTATTGCTCGAGTTCCTTAAGAAACAACTTGGCATTAGTAGTCTCAACAATCAAGCCCCTAAACGCCTCCGGAACGGAACGTTTCATGATCATCAAACACATGCGATTTGAGCGTTCCCACTTCTCAATTTTATCCGTGTTTGGATTTTCCTGAGTGGAAGTGGGTTTCTCAGTCCTTAGCGCATTGTCGAGATCCATGCAGCCGAGAACAATTTCCACATTCTCTTTCCACAGCTTGAAATTTGCCCCATTAAGCATTGGAAGCGAATTCACTCGAGCAACATAATTGGCAGCGGTAGCAGAAACTGTCTCCAGAGAACAAAATAAGATTACATACTAATAACATGTCATATCATATATATATTCAAACACCATCATAAATAAATTACATACATGATATTGACAAATAATCCAAAGTAAAATGAGTTTATTATAAGATACCTAGCACAACATTAATATTTAGTCTGTGGACAAAAATATCAACTTGTAAGTGGTACTCTTAATGTAGTAATCAAACGTTGACAATAAGTCCTGTCAAATCATAGCCTTCCTGTGGGCCGACTATGAATTACATGGAGAATTCTTGATAATTGTCACATATTTATTACCACAGGTATGTTTGTTACTTGGCCAAATAATAACTTTCCTGTGGGTCGTTCACTATCCGCATAAGCAATAAACACACACATGATCACATAACATATGTTATTTGGCCAAACAATAACCTTCCTGTGGGCCGATTATTATTTGCATAAATAAAATATATTTATATGACCAACCTATTTGAAATCAAATTAACCTTTATAAATTTGGCCACTTTGGCGGCTAACAAATTTATCATATTTAATTTCAAATAGAAACCTTTAGGGATAATAAACTCATTTAAAAACAAAATAACAAAAATAAAGAAAATTATTCTTTATCAATTCTCAATGTATATATATATACATATACATATTGTATCAATATATCATTGCAATAATTTTAAGGCCAATAGAGACGGTGATTTGCAGCAAACGGTGCAACAATGTAATTCATGAAAATCAATCATCACGAAAATCGAGACGGTAATCATAAAGTATATTTCAATTCATTCTAAAATTTTAGAGATAACACACAGTAACGGTGCAAATCAATTGTAGACTTGGCACGACAATCAAAAATTGATTTCTAATTCATGAGAATTGTCGTGGGTTGATTTCAATTGTATACAATATATATACAACATGATATATAAGAAAAGACGGAACAACCACAGTTTACACAACAACTCAGATTTAAAAAATTGATCGCAATTGATTGGATCTTATAATTATATAAACCTAATTCCCTCATGATTCAATATGATTAAGGCTCTGATACCAATTGTTGGAATTTTTAATTCCTCTAAACCTTATGGTTATAACCATCACCTACAAGCCAAGATCCATCATACCAAATCATAAAGAAATAAGAACATAAAGGTGGAGGCATACCTGTCTCCATTGCAGCGGAATAACTTTGATCTTGTCTTTTGGGGTTTGTAGTCTTCCTCAGTCAAATCACCCTAAAACCGAATTCCTTAATGTGTCGTCTCTCTCTTGATGGGGAAGAGAAACTAGGGTTGTTAATTTGACCTATTGGGGACCATAACCCTTATATAGTGTTTTTATCTTTATTGTTGGGCCAATAAGCTCCCATTATACCTAGTTGGCCCAACACCGGTATCCACTCATTCAGTCCATACTCACTTAGGAATCTATTTGGGAATATTTAACTGATCACTTTAATTTACCCAATATATATAAATAGCACAATATAATTATTAATATAATATGTGACCCACAATAATTATTAGAAAATATAATTTCCTAACACAGTGGATGGAAAAGCAAGGCACTAAAATGGTGGTCTACGAAATTGAGATTCGTGGGTTATTTTCTACGCCGTCCGATTCGAGCATCAAAGTTACAGACGAAGGACTACAACTTACACGGTCAGTTCTGAAAGGTTAATCAACAAACAGTCATATTTCTCGATGGTCTTTGTCAGAAGAATAATATCACATAAAGCAACATTCTCATTCTAACACCAAGTTCAGTGTTTCATTACCTGAACACCACCGTAACCAAAGCTTTTGTTCGCTGATGCTTCCAAGTTGTTTCATTCAAGAGTCAAGAACAGGGGATTCAGCACATGCAACATCACTTGGATGTCTGATTGGAGGAATTTGCTGCTCCCTTTGTGAAATTATTTTCAGTTGCAAACATACGATACAAGTGAGGAGAGAGACTCCAATTTCAACAGTACAACAGGGATATTTCCGTCTCCAACCTCACGCCCAAATTCTCCTTTCCCAGCTAAACGCGAAATACCACCCTCCTTGTGGTTATTCAGAACAGTGATTTACATCAACTTTTGCACATGATTCACCATGGCTGGGGAAATGATTTTACTGGTCAAAATTGTTAAAATCTTGTACCAAACGAGGTCAGATCAAAATACCACTTCAAGATGCATGGGTATCTAAATGAAAAACCTATACCAAACGACCCCTAAAAGATTGAGTTTAGGTGAAACCAGGACCTCAATACTTGATAAATGGATGATTGTCTAAACTTTTATGTTTAACTTCAGTTGTTCAATGTTGTTCTCATTGTTGAAGTTTCTGCATTAGGCCAAATGTTAGGGGCTTGTAGAGGAAAGAGTTGTTGGGAAACAACCCATTTCTGATCTTGCATTGAGCACATGGAATTGGGTGAGAAATCATCCAAGGGATCTCACTTTGGATATGAAGGATTCCTCCATCTAACAAGGAACCCGTGTTTCAAGACTCCAGATCCCATTTGCATAGGCATATGTATATGGTTAAACCTTGTAGGAAATAATTTTTAAGGAATTGAAAGTTTACAATTGTGTTTAATTAACTGGGAAAACTTAAGGAATAGTTTCATTTTCAAATCATTTTCCAAGTGTTGTGGGAAGGGGAAACCAAAGATCCAACCTATTTTACGTAATATTTTCACCAAAACATATTTGTTAATTCTCTGATTTAGCTCTTTGTCAATTCTTTGTCTTAAATTCTTTACACAAAAATTTTGAATCAGAAAAGAAAAATACATTTCCAAGTTCATTTACTCATTTCCAAGTTCTGTAAATTCATATTGAAATAGTTGGTTTGCAAAGGGCGTAATTTAGGATGAATAAATCTAATCAAAGGTTATAATATGTCATTGGAAAGCTTAAGATGTCTAGTTTAACATAGTAAAATCTTGGAATTAATAGTAAAGTAATGTAATACCAGCTTTAAAAATGGAAAGCACAGTTTAGTGCCGAATGTGCCAATAGAGTTGGTTTCTTTGGATTGTTCTTCAAGGATATGATTTACAGACTTTATTGTGCTAGTAAGTGATGTTCTATGGGTATAAGACCTTTAGGAGATCAGTGTCAACCTCTGTAAAATATGTTTGAGTCATGGCATATGTAATCAATGCATATGGATTTGGAAAAAGCCTCAATTGTTATAAATGGTAAAAGATAAGGTTGAATTGAATATGGTAGATTAATGTTTGTGCTAATTGCTTTCATATTTTGAAAATAGGTTGTGACACTGTTAGAGGTTGTGGTTGTGATCCTTTGGATACCCTGTGCACATTAGAGGACATTGTTGTGGAAGGTAAGCTTTCAGTCTTTGGAGTTAATCCCTTATTTGTTCCTCCAAACTCTATGGGAGGTTGGTTTATATACTTGGTATATTTTGGAAAATTATTTAATTATAATTCATTGTTATATGTATGTGTATGTGGTGTATTTTCCACACAAGATAAGTATTGTGTGACTTTATACAAGATAGTTTATTGAGATTATTATCAAGTACTTTCTTCTTCCTTTTCCTTCTTTCGCTTAGATTTCTGGAAATCGGTAGTATCAAAGTGTTGAAGTTATGCATTTTTCATTTGCATGCCTTTTGAGTTTATGTCTTCTAGGTACTTTGTGTTTCTGGGTTCTTCTTTCGAGTTTTGTGTTTTGTAAAGGGTTTTCCAACCGTTTGATATAATGTCTGATGAGCATCCATTTTTTTGCATTTTTTAGAATGACTAAGAGATTAGACTCTATAAGCGTAGAACTTAGACCATTTCCTAAGCCTAGGTCTTCTAGGTCTATTAGTACTAGGGAGTGGTTGTTAATGGGCAAGGGTATTTTTAACAACTCTTACTATTGAGCTTTGGTAAATATTGGAACCTGCTATAGCGCTTTCACGTGATAACTAACCCATTGTAGCAGTTCTGCAATAATGCACATTATTAAGCTTTGTAAATGGAATTGTGACAATAAATCATATAAATGATATGATAATAAAGATAGGAATATAATTTATGCCAAGGAAGTCAACTAGGACCCTAATGTTAATATTTGAAAAGTTTAGGTGTCAAAGTTTAATTATATGAAAGTTTAGGGACCATTTGGCAAATAGGCAAAACTTAACCTAAACTTGATTTGGAAGATGTACTTAAATTCCTTATAAAATTTTATGGACTTTAAGTGGCCTTAATTTAAGATGATTGTAAAACCCCAGCTTATCTAACCGAAATGATACAGATGCGCACTTAATTTAATAAGAATAGCAGAAGACTTCCTATAAGTACCACCACCACCATGCCTTCACCATCACCACCACCGCTGCCACCAACCATCACCATCATCGTCGCAGCCACTGCCGTCACAACCATCACCACCACTGCCGTAGTCACTACCATCACCACCATTACCATGCCACCACCACCATTACTGCCACTATGATGCCATCACAACCACCACCACCACCACCAACCACCACCACCATCGTCGCAGCCACTGTCGTCACCGCCATCGCCACCACCACTACCATCACCTCCACCATTGTAACACCCTTAATATCCTCATCAAAGGTGTAACATTGCTTGACATCCAATGCGCGGAATCCATGTACTTAAGAGTGGTTAACTTAAAATTTACTAATAGGAATTTATTTCGTCCTTTTTCCTAACTTATCTATTCCTCTAGTCATGAGTTTCTCTTTTGCTTTGTCTACGGTCTACTTACAAGTTAATCTCTTCTTGGTTACCCTGCTCATACTTATGCGTTATTTAGGGGCTCACTTACATGATCATAATTTTAGTTTTTGACTACTACTAAGTAGGTAGTTACTTAAGTGTCTTATGCGGATAGTGACTTATGTTACTTAATCTTTCCTACTAAATTCATAGTCCATAAAACATAAACATCCAAAATATCGTACTTCAAACGCATATAAAATGTTCAAAATAGTCTAAGTGGCATAGTCTACTACAGTCATCCAAAATAGAATTTAAGTACACCCTTAGTAAGGTGCATCTTCAATCCACAAGGATCCAGCTAGAGCAGATATAACATAGTCTGCCTCCAAAAACTTTCCTTTAGATAGTAAGTTCATAAATTTCTCCCGAAGTTTGGAGTCATCATTAACTGCACGTGGCTGCTCAGGTTCCTCTTCAATTTGCACCAACCTCTTTCCCTGCCTTACCCATTTGGTCATTTTTACCTGAAAGGGGATTTCCCAAAAGTGGGTGAGATTGGGGATCTCAGTAAGGACTCACAGTTGGAGCAACCTCCAAACCATGATGCTTACTCCTGCAATAGTCACATAATAACATGTACATTAATAGAATGGCAAAACATTGGAAACATAGTTTGGAAAATAATCATGCTTTCATATCATCATACCAATCCTGCCATGGCAATTACTCTCCATGGTCTTATGGACGAATACCCAGGGTCCTCGTCAGGTTGCCTCTGTGGTATTAGTGCACAGGCCATCTTACAAAACTTGCATGAATAAACATTAGTTCCAAACAACCAAACATATCATGTAATGCATCATATAACATATTGCAGTCAAACCTCACTTTAACATAAGGGGTGGCAACCATAGGGTAGCCGCTTCAACAACCATAAATCACTTACACGATAGTCTTGTCTTATTCTTGGTCCTTGCTTGTTCCTTTGGTTTGGCCTAGTAACATAATCATCCTTAGTACATATTCATAAGATCTAACTTGGTTTTCTTCTTGATATAGATTCTGCCCTTTTTAAACAAAATACCTAGGAGATGATTTTTCATTAGTGGCTTTCATGTATAGGTCCTATATTTATTATACAATTCGGCCATGCATCATAATACCAAGAAAATATTCACAAATTTCTCTCCTAGGCCCATTAGGGTTCGGCCTTTTAGGGTCATACACTTAAAGGAAAATTTTAATATCATGTTCATAGGTCTAATGCTCACATAAAATGACAGATCCTTAAATCAAACCTTGGACAATACTCTTCATTAAATTCGGTCATTTAGGGTTAAGGTCATAAAAAGGAGATTTTTCAAATGCTACTTTCATACACATCATGCTAACACTTTCCATGGTACTTAAAAGAAAAATATCACACATTTAGGAAGGTATATAGGTTCGGCCATTTAGGGTTCATGCCTTTAGGAGATGATTTTTTAAAGGATGCTTACTTATCATGCTAACACCATCACTTCAACCCTCTCCATGATACTTTAAAGAAAATATTAAACATTTAGTGACACACCTAGGTTCGGCCACTTTGGGGTGATACACTTAGGAGGTGATTTTAAAGATGAAAGATGCATGCATGGTTTTATTAGTCCAAGATCTAGTCATATAAATTAGTTAGAGTTCATTCTACTCACTTTAAGGGATGAAGAGCTCATGAGATCTTACCTCAAAGATGATGTCTAAAATATAACTCCAACTTGATCTTCAAGGAGTCTTCTAGGGTTGGGAGTTGCTTCCAACAACCTCTTGGTTTCTCTCTACACGAAGAGAGTGGGAACTTAGAAATCTTTAGTTTCTTCCAAACGAAAATGAGATGAAGCTTTTACCTTACCTATGTGGGTGATGGCAAGAGAGTTTGAAGAGCTTAGAATAATTTTAAGGTGATCTTAGGTCCTATTACTTGTTATGGCCGAAGCTTAGGAGTAAAGGAGATGAAGTGTTTGAGTGTTTACTTGCTTGGCTTGATGAGAGGAGAAATGGTCGAAGCCAAGGGAAGAAGGAGAAGAAAGAAGTCCTTTATCTTGTTGCTTGGTGCTTCACGGCCTTAGGGGGAGGAGGAAGCTCTTTGCTTGATCTTTTATTCAAGCCTTGCAATCATTTCCTTAAGGTATTAGGTTATGACTTGTGAGTGTGTAGAAAGCTATCTTCATGCATTGGGTGAAGGGTACTTGAGTGTAACTTGTGAATGTGGGGGAAGTTATCTACATGCATTGGTGGTGAATGGTGTTTGGGTGTGGGGTGTGAGCAATCTTTCCTTGTTCTTTGTTGATGGCCGAGTGTGTAAGGATGAGAGATGATGCATGTGTTCCACTTGGCACTTGATTCAAGGAGGGTTTGAGTGTGAATTTGCACTAGGGTTTCTTGGCTACTTGAGTGATGTGGCCGTGAAGAGAGAGGGGCTTTGGTCATGTGACTTCCCTTGGTGACCGTGTATGCCTAGGGAGGAGGAAGATTTGACCTTGTAAGATGGCATGCATGGCTTGAGTGTGTAAGAAGAAAGTTTCCTTTTCCTTGTCATGAGTGCGCCCTCCAAGGTGTGTAAGGAGAAAAGGAGAGTTGCTTTTTGGAGAAAGAAGATCACATGCATGGTTAAGGCTTGGAGTGTGGAAGAAGCCATCTTCCTTTTCTCATCATGAGTGCGCCCTCCAAGGTGTGTAAGGAGAAAAGGAGAGTTGCTTTTTGGCTAAAGGAGTTCACATGCATTTGTTAGAGTTGGAGTGTGTCTTACTCAAGTTCTTGCATCACATTTCCTTGTCTTGTGTAGCGCTTAAGGTGGGAAAAGCACTCTCATCCCCTTTTTCTCTTTGCTAGACCGAGGTGGACATGTGAGGGGGGTGAAATCTTCATTCAAATTGTCCAATCACGTGTTGCCACCTCATCTAGGGTTTATTCTTGAATTGGGTTGGGTTTGGTGAGTGTCTTGGCCCATTAAGTTAATAAGTGTTGGACAATTAGTAATTGGGTCAAGGCTAGGTGGTGTGGGTTTGGATCTTTGTCTAGATACTAATTGGGCCATTTCTTATAAAATGGGCTTGCATTGCTTTGGGCTTAAATCCTTTAACTTAGTCATATTCTTAAGTAGGTTGGGCTTTAACTTTATTTGGACTTTAACCCACATTGGGCTAAGTTATTAATTATCTTATTTAAAGTGGGTTCTAACTTAGGACTAATGTTGCTTATTCAAAGTTACTCGTTCACTGAATATGGGCTTGATCCCTTTTCATTTCATTTCATTAGGCTAATTTCGAGTACATGATTTTTGGGTTATTACAACCATCATCTCAGCCATTGTCGTCACCATCGCCACCACCACCATTACCACTACCGTCGTCGCAGTCACTGTCGTCATCATCACCGTCATGCCATTACCACCACCATCACTACGCCACCGCCGCCGCCACCACCGCCACCACCAAATAGAAAGGAAGATGATGATTCGAATTTTTTTATATTTAATAGGAATTATTTCTTATTATATTATTTGTTGTGTTATCAAACACAATTCTCATTCACGGAATAAAACTAGAACATGTGATTAAACACATTTTTTTTCTCAGAAATTGTTTCAATGCACATAAACAAAAAACAACTGTTTCTTTTCAGAAACAGTGCCAGAGAAAAGAATGGTTGTCATGCACACCTTAAGTGTTTGTTATATTGTCAAGGTGAATTTATGGTCATTGGATGATTTAATGATGATTGAAGTGATAAAAAATAATAGTAAGTTTGTAAGAAAATTAGTTAACCTAATATAAGGCAATTGAGCCATATGGTGTAGATTCATGTTATAATAACCATAATAATTAAATAGCATCAATTGGAGAATAAATGTATAACTACAAGGTTAATTAGCAAGAATTATCGAATTATAAATTAAATCGCTTTTTCAGGGCAAAAGCGTAAATAATAAAGATGATGGCTTGCGAATGTTTGATTTCGGACTTGCTATCCAATGATGCTATAATGGATGTTTTAATTGTCAAATGTAGATAATATCATGTTACGTATTTATTAAAAATATAGGGGCTGAGTTGTAATTTGAGAATTTTTGGTTAGAATAAAGATCATGTTCTGATGTGAGAAGGTTTAAATTAGACAAATATACTCCTCCGTTGAAAGCCTTGTGTTTGAAATCACAAGGATGCATGTGACAGTTGCAAGGAAGCTAGAATGAGTATGAATTCACAAAATAATATGAATAATCACCTAATCTCTGAATTGGGGACATAACCTACTATCATGAGTCAAAGAAATTGTCACATTCCTTCACTCATTAATGAAATCCATTTTCCCTTCCTCCATTCTTAGAACGAGCAAGGCTACAGTTGAATTATATCATTTTCACCTGACATTCTGAAATACACGTATTCCATCTCATTTTGTTTCAATCTCAGCAAGGAAAAACTTTAGCTCCATCTATTTCTTCCTTCTAAACACTATAACCTCTATTAGTCCCTTAAATTTCATAGCTGCGTGAACATCTCCATCTTACCATCCAAGGAGGAAAGGCTAACTGTACAAACCTTTATTAGGGGTTGGTGGGCTTGCTCTTCTAGGAACCGAGGCTGCCTTCTTAAAGGAGACCCTCACAAGTCACATTTTCATTC